GTTGTCGTTAAAGTTGTCTTTGTGGTCTTTTAGAGTCACGTACGCGTCCTTTTTTGCCATACAATCCATTCTCTCGTCCAATCCACGCGCATTGGCTATATTCCTAGCCTCCACATTCATGTCGTCGTATGTCTCTTCCGGTGCTTGCTTGTAGTTCTTGGTTACATTGTCATGCATCATTTTCTTGTAGCGGTCCTTGTTGACGGCATACATGTTCCTGAGATTTGGAGAATGCGTGTGTGTGTGAGATATAGAGAATGAATGTGTGTGTGTGTGTGTGCATGTGTGAGATATAGAGAATGAATGTGTGTGTGTGTGTGTGTGTGTGTGTGTGTGTGTGTGTGTGTGTGGGTGTGAAAACACTTAGTGACGCGGTGTTAGACAAGGCAGTCTTCATCTTGCTGCCGCGGAGGAGGAAAATTCAGCGTTGACGACATGGCCACTTCGGATGTGACCACTCGCGCTGACCCTCTTTCGCCTGGGTGTAGAGGTCTTGCAAACCCTGGCCCAGAGTCTTTCCACTCGCGTGCACCAGCGGCTCGAAAGGTTGTTCTGTCTCTGGGAACGTGGAACGTCAGGACTCTTGTCGACACTGACGGAAATTTGAATACGGCGTCCAAAGCAAAAAAATCAAGGAAAGTTTGTTCGAATATTCGCGAGGAGAGAAAAATTGACCTTGTGTGTCGTCAGCTCAAAAAGTATGGAATGGACATCGTTGGCCTCCAGGAGACGCTTTGGTTTGGCTCTCATCAATATACTGTCGGAGATTGCTTGCAGCCGCAGTTTCCGCCGCCGTCAGGATATCGCACGGCATCGTTGTACATCGCGGCGTTCAATAGCAATTATAACCCGTGGGAATGCGCCGTCACGTCAGTCGTTGGGTCCTGGTGCCGCTTCCCGGAGACAGCGCTAATCCAAGAGCTGCCCCGTATGGGGCCACTTAGCCAGTCATGGCAGTGGAGAAGAAGGAAGGAAGGAAGGTGTGTGGGTGTGAGAGAGAGATATTTAGAGTGTGTGTGCGGACGCGCGTGTGAGTGTATGTGTATGTGAGAAAGGGGAGAGAGTGTGGGTGTATGTTTGTGTAGTGGTGTGGGCATGTGTGGATTTGGCATTTGTCCCCAGCTCTATTCTATATCATTCATGCCGGAACTACTGCTGCATAGCCCCAAGTCTGAAGACTTGGCAACTTCACGCCTGCACCTGACTCTTGCGCTATGATACGCGTCGCCTATGACACCCCTCGGAATTTCCCACCTTGCTCCCCCTTATGTTCTGGCTGCCCGTTTTGGATCCATCAGTTGCCTGATGATCGTAGAGATACGTGAAACTCGGAGTTGTGACAAAGCTTCCAAACTCTCTCTCTCTCTCTCTCTCTCTCTCTTGTGTACAAGGCTCTGCCCTACATGGGCATTGAGCACTTTTCGGACAGTGAAGCACACCACTTGACTACGTAAACTCAATAACCTCAATTCAAAAGGAGAAAAACAATAACAAAACAACAACAAAAAACATGCTCTCTAGGCTGCAAAGTTCTGGCACAGAGCACTCCTTCTCACCACCACCACCATCAGTTCGCGCCTGGCGCCTGGTCGATGCATGGCTGGCGGTATCCGGCATAGCAGGCTGGTACATCAAGTAGCGCATGGCACATAGATGATGACACAGCAACGACATAGCTCGATTGCGACGTACGTTTCGTCCCCGCTGGACTCATCAGGCAATCTTCTTCTTGGATGTCTTCATACGGAGCTTGACTCGGGAGAATGAAGTTGAAGACACCACTGCAGCTGTACTTATGGTTGATAAATATGGTGGTAAAGACACACCTGGCAATATGGCGGTAAACACACGCCTGCCCACACACGCTCTCTAGGCTGCAAAGTTCTGGCACAGAGCTCTCCTTCTCACCACCACCACCATCAGTTCGCGCCTGGCGCCTGGTCGATGCATGGCTGGCGGTATCCGGCATAGCAGGCTGGTACATCAAGTAGCGCATGGCACATAGATGATGACACAGCAACGACATAGCTCGATTGCGACTTACGTTTCGTCCATATTTATCAACCATAAGTACAGCTGCAGTGGTGTCTTCAACTTCAACAACAAAAAAACACTGTACTAATTAATAAGAACACCAATAACTTCATCAAGAAAAATCAAAAACCAAAAAAATTGATAAACAACTAAACACAATAGAAGATCAGAAAATTACGTAACAAGGCGAGACTCGGCCACCATGACCGAACTATCCACAAAACGTTGGACGGGGAAACCCCGACGAGAACGAGCACCACGGATACAAAGAATACTGGATCTCAGTAAGGAGAAAGAGAGACGGGCACGCAGCAGACTCATGACAACAGAGTATTCGCTACCAGAAAAGTCACATTGTAAACGACAAAGACGTTTCAAAATAACAGTGCACAACGGACTACAACCCCCATGAGTACCGAACACTAGAGGGGTGAAAGAACCACGCTCTACATTGACAACTCTCCTCATACTCACGACGCTTAGAATCTTCATGTTGCTTGTACAGAGCGCTGAGAGATTTGGAGCGATCGGAAGGGGCATCTGGGCACAAAACCCTTACATCAAAAAGCCTCCTCCCCACGGTTCCAAAACCCCCGAGCGCTCACATCGAGTCTGGCCTCCTCACTAACGTTCCCTGTTTGAAAACGAAAACGCACGCCAACTAGAGGTGCAAGCGTCGGTTCCGTACCAACCGCGGAACAAACCATTGTGAGCTCTTCCGCCAGGAGATCACGAACTTCATTGTGCCGCAGGGTAGAACCCCCCCCCCCCCCCCGACTACAACAAAGTTGGTGCTCGACCGAAAACTCATGTCCGCATATACAGGACTCGGGCGTACACTGCAAAGGCCAACCATATCGCGAAGCGACAGCGTCCTGGAAGTATCTTCGACCGAGTCTTCGTGACAAACTAAAACCATGCCTCCTGATAGGTAATACAGCCAGCCAGGACGAGGCACCCTTCTCTGAGTGTTCGAGAATACGCCTCCTGTCCCGATCACACAACATTTCAGCAGCCGCGCTCGCCACAGCCACAGCTTCCTTCCTTTGCTGCGCATGGGTCTGGGCCTTACGCTCCTGCACGGCGTCCATTGTCACTGCCACAGGAGTAGAGGCAACGTGATCACTCCCGGACACTACACTCCTGTGACTCGGAGAGGCGACAGATCGAGAGGGCACGTGCAATGTCCCAACCTAGCTACCCACACTGATACCCAGCACCAGAGGCTCCGAAATGTGGCGAGACTGCCGCCGTTGGTTCGCAGACATAGCAACCAAATCCGGGATAGCCATCCCGCCATGCCGAATAGGGAGTCTCAACACCCTCCGATCAACGCCAGACAATGCGGGTTGCCCCACGACAACTGGCAAAAATACCTGAGAGACGCAAGTCTCAACAGGAGCAAGTATCTCCTCACCCAAATCCATAGACCGAACAAGTATGTCCATTTGTACCTTAAACCATGACACATTGTGTCATCGCAGCATAAGCCGGATGAGGCTCAACAGCCGCAAATTCTTTTAGAACATTCAGCTCTTGTATCCACTCTTCCGCACGCTGAATTGCAAAATCACGACAGAAAGCGGAGGTGCCCAGCCCAGCACCAAGGTAACGAACACCATCCGTCTTCACAACAATAGCCGTGTCTCCAAAGTGCTCATTGGCAGCCACCTCAAGCCCAGCCACCTCAAGCCCAGGCACCTCAAGCCCAGGCTTCACAAGCGACTGAGTTTTACTTTCATTAATAATGGATCCATAATCTTCACCATGAGTTTTCAAATTATCATACCACACGCGGAGCGGACCAAACTTCCCCGCTGCGGCAGAGTCGTCCGCATACCATCCTTGGCAGACTCTATCTGCAGAAGCACGCAACGATTTGACCAAAGGTGTCAATGCAACAGCGTATATCACCCTGTGTGGTTCCCTCACGAGACAGGATGCTTCCACCTCCAGATACATGCAGCGTTGCTGGAGACTGGTAAGTATTTGTAGTTATTTGAGATAGTGGAGGGCACACCCTGGCAATGTTGTGAAGGGCGGCGCATCGATTGAGGCTATTGAATGCATTCTGGGCATCCACCAACAACAAAGCCTAGCTCCGTTTTGCCATGCTGAAAAGCAATGTCCATTGCCTGGTGCATCGACTCAAGGCCTGTTGGGATCCCGGTACAGGCCTGTTCAACGCCACACGACTCCATAATATCGGACCTACTTACAGACAAGGCTGCCTTTGAACAAATTCGGCAAAATACCTCGCCCACGCCGATAGGTCTAACTCCAGGATTTTTGTTAAGCGCAATGAGACGGCAAGCAACATAGGGTGCCAAAGATCCTTCCGGCAATTGGACTGTACATATCATACGCGTAAAGATGGCTATGGCATCACATAAGTCAGTTGATGCACCCTAATAGCATGTACACATTCTCCATAATAGTAAAAACTGCTTTCAGCTTCCAACCCTCTAACCCAATCTCTACAAACCTCCTCCCCAATCCCTACAACCCTCCACCCCAAACCCTGAACCTCAAACTCTACAACCCACCACCCAAGTCTCTACACCCCAAATCCTCCCCCCCCCCCCCCCTCACGCCCCTGTTGTGATACCGTAAAAGCCCGTGTATAGGCCGCGGGCGTATAGAACAGCAGCCTCGATTTCCTGGGCGTATACAATGGCACGGGCGTTATTTTGGAACCGGGCGTATACTTGGAATAGGGATAGCGGTAAGTATTGGGTATCAGTACCTGTACATGTACTGGTGTTTCCGGCATACCTGGGCGTATACATGGGCAAGGGCGCTATTTTGAAACAAAAGTGCTGACTTTCCCTGACTGGGCGTGTACACGGAGGGTGGGCGTAATTTCGAGTGGGCGTATACAGGGGCTTTTACGGTATCTCAGGAGACCATGGGTGCAGACTTGACAGTGCTGTCTCCTCTACTTCTCCTGTACCTCTCTGCCAAAGGTCTCGCCGAACTCGGCGGAGTTTCGCAAGATCCAGTCACACGTACATGCCTCACTTTCCCGGGCCAAGATCCTTTCCCGGGCCAAGATCGAGCGTATTGACCGCATCCAGAACAAGTTCCTGTGGAGGAAGTACAACCAGACGAAAGATGCCAAGAAACGAAAGCTGAAGGGTGCTGTTCAGGAGAAGTTCCTGTTCCATGGATCAGGATCAAACCCTCCAAGAAACGTAGGTACACACACTGATCTTGCAGAGGTAGCAACACTGTATGTGGCCTCCGCCATATACCGTGTTCCCCCGATTGTAAATTACATCCAGTTATGTTGAAGACTTTGTCATCTTGGTTCGGTACGTTCACTCTTCGCCCTGTCTCTTCCTCGTTCTCTGTGTCTGTCTCTCTCGCTCTGTCTATCTTTGTCTCTCTTCTCTGTCTCTCTGTCTCTCTCACACACACTCACACACTCACTCACTCACTCACTCTCTCTCTCTCTCTCTCTCTCACTCACTCTCACTCACTCTCTCTCTCTCTCTCTCTCTCTCTCTCTCTCTCTCTCTCCCTGTGTGTGCGCACATGCATAGGTGTGTGTAACTACATGTGTGTCAATATCCATGCATGTATGTGTACGCGTATGCACGTGTGTGTATGTGTGTGTTTGTGTGCGTGTGTCCATCCTTCCCTATACGTCTCAGTTGTACAGGGATGAAGTTGGATTTGACATGAGATTCTCAAGAGCGGGGCTCTGGGGAAAAGCAGTGTATTTTGCAGAGAGCGCTGATTCCTCAAACAACTACAGCCATCCCGTGCCTGGAAAGTCAAAAACTAAACAAATGCTTATTGCGAAGGTAAGCGTCATCCACTATGCCATGCATTACATGATGCATTATATCCTGCCCTATGCAATGCATTACATCCTGTACTAGGTCATACATTACGTAATGCATTATGTCATTCTCTATCCAATGCCTTGTGTAATGCATTGCATCATGATGCATGATAATTCACTTTGCCATGCATCATCATGCACTGCCATGCATTACATAATGAATGATGTCATGCTGTCCATGCAGCATACCAACAGTGCATACACTGTTTATGGACTCTTGATCACACCATTGGCACCTCAGTCACACTTGCATGATGTTGCATAGTGCATGACGTATTGCATTAGGTAATGCATCAAATCAACACATCATGCAGGATTCCATGCATGCAGGATTCCATGCATGATGTCATGCGTGATGCGGCACAGCTTTTCTCATAATGCAGCAGTAGTCTGGGCAGCCAATTCACGAATTCTGAACACGAAAATTGTCTCCACCCTGTGTTCGAGAGAAGATGTGTGCGTGTCTGGCAAGTTTGGTGCATGGCGTATGGCACTTCAACAAGTTGAGACTTGTTGTGTCGGTTGACAGCATGTAACACGGTGGAGGACGTGGAGGACCACCGTGTTGCAAAACAGTGACCTTACTACAACCTCCTTCACGGTGGTTGGTAGAGCCCCGGTGGTTGGTAGAGCCCCGGTGGTTGGTAGAGCCCCGGTGGTCGGTAGAGCCCCGGTGGTTGGTAGAGCCCCGGTGGTTGGTAGAGCCCCGGTGGTTGGTAGAGCCCCGGTGGTTGGTAGAGCCCCGGTGGTTGGTAGAGCCCCGGTGGTTGGTAGAGCCCCGGTGGTTGGTAGAGCCCCGGTGGTTGGTAGAGCCCCGGTGGTTGGTAGAGCCCCGGTGGTTGGTAGAGCCCCGGTGGTTGGTAGAGCCCCGGTGGTTGGTAGAGCCCCGGTGGTTGGTAGAGCCCCGGTGGTTGGTAGAGCCCCGGTGGTTGGTAGAGCCCCGGTGGTTGGTAGAGCCCCGGTGGTTGGTAGAGCCCCGGTGGTTGGTAGAGCCCCGGTGGTTGGTAGAGCCCCGGTGGTTGGTAGAGCCCCGGTGGTTGGTAGAGCCCCGGTGGTTGGTAGAGCCCCGGTGGTTGGTAGAGCCCCGGTCGTTGGTAGAGCCCCGGTGGTTGGTAGAGCCCCGGTGGTTGGTAGAGCCCCGGTGGTTGGTAGAGCCACGGTGGTTGGTAGAGCCACGGTGGTTGGTAGAGCCACGGTGGTTGGTAGAGCCACGGTGGTTGGTAGAGCCCCGGTGGTTGGTAGAGCCCCGGTGGTTGGTAGAGCCCCGGTGGTTGGTAGAGCCCCGGTGGTTGGTAGAGCCCCGGTGGTTGGTAGAGCCCCGGTGGTTGGTAGAGCCCCGGTGGTTGGTAGAGCCCCGGTGGTTGGTAGAGCCCCGGTGGTTGGTAGAGCCCCGGTGGTTGGTAGAGCCCCGGTGGTTGGTAGAGCCCCGGTGGTTGGTAGAGCCCCGGTGGTTGGTAGAGCCCCGGTGGTTGGTAGAGCCCCGGTGGTTGGTAGAGCCCCGGTGGTTGGTAGAGCCCCGGTGGTTGGTAGAGCCCCGGTGGTTGGTAGAGCCCCGGTGGTTGGTTAGGCCATGTGGTTGGTAGAGCCCCGGTGGTTGGTAGAGCCCCGGTGGTCGGTAGAGCCCCGGTGGTCGGTAGAGCCCCGGTGGTCGGTAGAGCCCCGGTGGTCGGTAGAGCCCCGGTGGTTGGTAGAGCCCCGGTGGTTGGTAGAGCCACGGTGGTTGGTAGAGCCCCGGTGGTTGGTAGAGCCCCGGTGGTTGGTAGAGCCCCGGTGGTTGGTAGAGCCCCGGTGGTCGGTAGAGCCCCGGTGGTCGGTAGAGCCCCGGTGGTCGGTAGAGCCCCGGTGGTCGGTAGAGCCCCGGTGGTCGGTAGAGCCCCGGTGGTCGGTAGAGCCCCGGTGGTCGGTAGAGCCCCGGTGGTCGGTAGAGCCCCGGTGGTCGGTAGAGCCCCGGTGGTCGGTAGAGCCCCGGTGGTCGGTAGAGCCCCGGTGGTCGGTAGAGCCCCGGTGGTCGGTAGAGCCCCGGTGGTCGGTAGAGCCCCGGTGGTCGGTAGAGCCCCGGTGGTCGGTAGAGCCCCGGTGGTCGGTAGAGCCCCGGTGGTCGGTAGAGCCCCGGTGGTCGGTAGAGCCCCGGTGGTCGGTAGAGCCCCGGTGGTCGGTAGAGCCCCGGTGGTCGGTAGAGCCCCGGTGGTCGGTAGAGCCCCGGTGGTCGGTAGAGCCCCGGTGGTCGGTAGAGCCCCGGTGGTCGGTAGAGCCCCGGTGGTTGGTAGAGCCCCGGTGGTTGGTAGAGCCCCGGTGGTTGGTAGAGCCCCGGTGGTTGGTAGAGCCCCGGTGGTTGGTAGAGCCCCGGTGGTTGGTAGAGCCCCGGTGGTTGGTAGAGCCCCGGTGGTTGGTAGAGCCCCGGTGGTTGGTAGAGCCCCGGTGGTTGGTAGAGCCCCGGTGGTTGGTAGAGCCCCGGTGGTAGGTAGAGCCCCGGTGGTCGGTAGAGCCCCGGTGGTCGGTAGAGCCCCGGTGGTCGGTAGAGCCCCGGTGGTCGGTAGAGCCCCGGTGGTCGGTAGAGCCCCGGTGGTCGGTAGAGCCCCGGTGGTCGGTAGAGCCCCGGTGGTCGGTAGAGCCCCGGTGGTCGGTAGAGCCCCGGTGGTCGGTAGAGCCCCGGTGGTCGGTAGAGCCCCGGTGGTTGGTAGAGCCCCGGTGGTTGGTAGAGCCCCGGTGGTGGCATTCACCTTGTTACATGCTGGCAAGCAACAACATGTTTTAACAAAACAAGGTTTATCTAATACGTCACTGAGCAATGACTACGGCTGGCCTTTCCATGCTGTGGCAATATGCTATATGCACGTTAGATATAGTACATACAGAGGCGTCGCACACGGTACGGTCACTACGGTATTGACCGTACCACTATTTGCCCCAAGTACCCTGTAAATCAATAAAATGCACTGATTTGGACTCTAAATTCCCCAAATATTCGGCTCAGCCACCCCTCCCCCACGAGTGAATTGCACTTCAGATGGCTGACCGTACCACACTAAATTACCTTCCGACGTTGCCCCTGACATACCTGTACATAGTACATACCTGTACATAGTACATGTACATATATGTAACTATAGGTTAGTCATAGTCGTCCGGAACTGGCAGCAGATCTGCAGAAACATGTGATTTGTGATTTGTGTTTGCGTCCATGCATTGTGCTTCTCTTTATTCATTTCTAACCCATTGCTCATTGGGGGACCAAAACCTGAGTTTCTTTATTGTCAGATTGCCCCTACATGTGTGATTCTGTGAAATGCAGGGCCGCATGTGCCCTTGTCACACCACAAAACAACCTTTTTATGAACTCATGGTTCAGTGCCAATACCGGTAGTTTTTCGATCAAAGTCAAAAATCCCCGGTATGCCGGTAGTTACACTAGTTTCCCGGTATAATACCGGGAAAACCGGTATGGTTGGCAAGTATGTGTGCATCTCAGTGGGCTCTTCTCTCTGCCAATCAGGTTCTACTAGGAGACTGTGTGGTTCTCCACAGCAATCAATCACTGACCATGCCACCTCTCAAGCCTAGAGCAGACAGCAGTATTATGAGTAAGTGAACACTGACTGGGATTGCTGGCGACCCATCACAACTGGATAGCTGGGGAGGGGTGGGTGTGTCTGTGTGTGTGTGTGTGTGAGTGTGTGTGTGTGTGTGTGTGTGTGTGTGTGTGTTTGTGTGTGTGTGTGTGTGTGTGTTTGTGTGTCTGTCTGCCTCTCTGATTATTGTGTGTCTGTGTGTCTGCATTTCTGTGTTTGTGTGCCCGCAAGCCTGTGTGTCTTTTGTGCATGTGTATCTGTGTGTCTTTTGTGAATGTGTATGTGTGTGTCTGTGTATGTGTGTATCTGTGTGTATCTGGGTGTATCTGTGTGTATCTGTGTGTATCTGTGTGTATCTGTGTGTCTGTGTGTCTGTGTGTCTGTGTATCTGTGTATCTGTGTATCTGTGTGTCTGTGTATCTGTGTGTCTGTGTGTCTGTGTGTCTGTGTGTCTGTGTGTCTGTGTGTCTGTGTGTCTGTGTATCTGTGTATCTGTGTATCTGTGTGTCTGTTTTTGTGTCTGCCCTCCTGATGAGTGTTTTGAACACGCAACTCGGAGTAACGAGAGATTTTTGGTCTCTGCTGTTCTGCCTTGTGTAGTACGCTCTGCCCATTTTTG